TTTTTTTTTTTTTTTTTTTTTTTTTTTTTTTTTTTTTTTTTTACCTTTGGGTCCTGGCTAGACAACTGGGTCCTCCCACGATCCTTCCACTGGCAATACCTCGCAAGCTGGCTAGTCTGAAGGGGAAGGGGAACCCTAGGCACTTTAGGCAAACATGTGAGTTGGGAACGGGTGACTGGTAAGCCGGCCTCACACATTTGGGAATGCCTGTAGCTGCGCAGCCTCAGGCTTGCCTGCGTAGTGGCGTTCCAGCTAGTCCTAGATCCATTCCAGGAGGTGGGGCTTCACTCTGAGGGGACAGTAAAGGAGCCTCGCAGAGGAATATAGTGAAGTGTGGTCAACTAGGTGAGGGGCAGGTAATTAGCGGACTCACTCACGAGCCAGAATCCACAGCCCTTTGGGGAGGAGAATGGGATCTTGAAGCAGAAGGGTCAGGGTTAATCTGTGATGTGAAGTTTGGAAGACTCTCTCTTACCTGGTAAAGAAATATAAAACACTGAAGTCAGTGGAGGAAGGGGTCCTGAGGGTTGTGGGTTTGAAGAGAGCTGGGTGTGACAGTGAGGTGTAGAGGAGGAAGTGACCTTCCCCGTATTTCTCCGTGTCTAATTGGAGTCCTCAGGACGTGACATCTGGGTCTCACTTACATGAAGCCATAGGTCTTGCCTCGACAGAAATACCTATCTGACGGTGGTGGGGCAGCACTGGGCTCCTTCACCAACCAGCAACTTCTGTGTCCAAATACCACAAGTGCCAGTTTAAGCCACTTAATCCTGGGACTGTATGAGAGATGTGCTTTGGGGGGTGGGGCCTAGTTAGGTACAAGGACTGTCTTAGGAGGAGGCTCCCATGGAGGGAGAGTACCCTGGATGGATGATTGCCTATTGGGGAACTCTGTTATGTGTCTCCCTAGTTGTGACAGGGATCTGAGAGGGGCCTTACTTAGCTCATGTGGTAGGAGAGCGGGATCACAAAGAGGCAGGACCAAGGCAAACCTGTGGGGGTGATATCAGGAGTTTCCCTTCCAAATGGGACTGGAAAAGGTCCCACAGGGCTCCAGGGATTTGGAGGGCTGAGTGGGGCACCTCATGAGCTGGGAGACATGGACTTGGTGACTGAGTAGGCCCTCAGTTGGTTGGCATTCCCAACCAGACACCAGAATTAGGTGTCTTGTTTTACAGGGGAGGGGAAGTGCCCAAGGTTTTCCCATCCAAGGATTGGGAAAGCAGCAGAGAGTACCGATCTTCAGAGGTAGTGGGCCCAGAAGCTCCACTTTTGGGTAGAGAAATGGGACAGAACAGAACACCGGTGACCTCCTCTTGCCCTGTCTTTGCTGTACCACAAGTGCCAGGATACCTGGCCACACCCTGTGGAGTCCCAGTCCCGGTTTCCATTGCCATCTAATAATTCCTCCTGCTATCTGTACTTCCAGGAGTCCTGTCTAGCCCAAGAAGATTCTAGCCATGTCAAGAAGGGAAAGGAAAGCCACTGAAAGTGCTGGCAAGCCCACAAAGCTGGATCCAAATCTCATATCAGATGACACCCAGAAGCCAGGTGCAGTCATCCCAGGTAAAAATAGATGGGATCCTGTAGGACTGTGTCCACCCAGGAGACATCCTAAAATCTCTTGGCAGGTGGAGCACTGAGTGGGTGAGGTCCATGGACTTTTCTGGGACTAGCAGGAGGTTTCAGAAGCTAATAACTTCCTCAAGGGTTTTTTTTTGTGTGTGTGTGTGTGTGTGTGTGTGTGTGTGTGTGTGTGTGGCTTTAGACTCCCCCAGTTGAAATTTTCACCACACAGGAAACCTGCACGGCTCATCCACATGCCTCTCTGGGAGCATATGGGTCACAGTGACTGTAACTGTTGCTGGCTGTGGGTTCTAGAAACCCCATAATGAAGCTGTTTTCCATGGGGGACAATGAGAACAGCACACTTCATTTCAAAATATTTTTCCCTTTCTTTTTAATACAGTGCACCAAGAAGTCATTGATCTCAGTAATGAGGACATTACTTCCTCTGGAACAGAAGGGCAACAAGCCAGGTGATATGTTTCATCATTTACCCATTTATAAATTTAGAAAAAGTCCAGCTGGACAGAGGGCTCAGTGCAAGAGTGCTTGATGTACCTGAGTTCAGATCCGCAGCCCCCACAGAAAAAGCCATGCATGGCCATGCACACCTTCTAAGCCCAGAACTGAGGGGTGAGGTATGTCAGAGACAGGAAGATTGCGGGTGCCTGCTGACTGCCAGCTGAACAAAATAAACTGGGATTAAATAAACCAACAAACATACATAAAAGCAACAGCAAGTAAGGTGTATGCAGCGAATGAATGTACTAGGTTCATTGAGCTTAAAGGCCTCAGAACATTCACCCCGAAGTCGACCAGGTGTTCAATGTGATAAGAAATGAAAATATCATGCCTCCAGCAAACTGCAGGTCCTGTCATAGAACCTGTCTGATAGGAGTAAGGTGGAGATGGAGAGAGGAGGACACCGCACTTGTACCTCTGAGGTCGGCACAAATGCACACATGCCCTACCTCTACACACAAAGAAATTCAGAACAGTCAGCATCTGCTCTTGAAATGGGAACTGTATGTAGGCTGTGTGGCACACTCCACTTCCTCCATTCACTAAAAAAATGGCATTCTGTATATCTTGAAGTAAAAAATGTGATTTCTTTGCAGGAAGGAAATACAGGATTTGTTTGAAGAATTTGAAGGTATGTTCTAGGAGACATTAGGAATTTGAGAAAATCAAAAATCATTTGACCCAAAGAAGTGTAAGGCAAGGGAGTTATCACTTGGCAGACAAGAGAAGTGTGGTTACCGCCTTGTTCTCAGACACTCAATGTCAAAATAGTATTTATGAGATTTCCAACTCTCTACTTCATGTTAGTTATCAATACGGAGAACATGGCACCTATAGTGTGGGTGCTCTTATTTACTCACTGTGAGATATTTTAAAATTGGATGAAATTACCTGTCTTCCAGGTTTGATTCACACAAGCGGTACGTCTGCTTTTAATACCATTTTCTCTTTTTAACCTCACTGGTTTGTATTCTAGCCTAGCTCTTTTCTGTGTGTGAGTGGTGAGGGCCAACCCTTCTTAAATAGCTGCCCACTGTTGTTTAATGTGCAAAACTAGCATGTGCAGTGGCAAGCTGAAGTCAGCACTGTTAGCCTGTGACCACTGTATGATCAGACTGAGTCCTGCTTTAAATTGCTGTGTCAGACATTAGTCATACAAACTGTAAAAACAAAAACGGCTGGGACCTCTGTAGAGTTTTCTGCAAAGAGTCATATCTAGAAACTATTCAGGAATCAGGATAGGGATGTAGCTGAGTGGGAGAGCACTCGCCTAGTATGCTTAAGGCTCTGGGTTCCATCCCCAGTACCACAGACTTTTCCACGAATCGGTGTGCTTCTCCACCCCCCCCTTTAAGTTATTATTCAGGGTATCTACCTTGTCAAATTTGTGTAAAACCTCCAATGGCTACAATAATTACAGTCTTTTCATCTCGCTGTGCAATAGTCTCTGAGCCTTTGGAGATCTTTGTAAATCGACTACTTTTGTGTTTTGCACAAAGTGGCCCAGCAGGCCCTCTGATTGTGTCCTTGAACTGGAGCGTATTTTGTACATTGATACTGTTTATACTATACAGATGACGACGTCTCAGATAGAAATTACACAGTGACTTGAAACCCTTTTTTAAGCCCCATTCACTGTGCTTTGTATGTAACATACAGAAACAGAAGTCCAGCTATCCAATTTCACATCAAGCTCATAACCATGAAATTCTCAGCTGAAAGGAAGGAGGCAAATAATCTTATCATTGACAGATTATTTCCATCTATTGGTATCAAGTGTCTTTCCAAATAGAAAAGTGAAGTTGTGGGAACTTTATGGTAATGGTTACAAGATTATATTTTAATACAGAGCCCATTAAGAACTTTCTTGAAGGAAACAGAGAAAGATTCACGGCGATCATCGCCTCGTCTTTCGAAACCATGGAGCAGAAAGTTGAGGATGTTCTAAAAAGCCAGTGTGAACAGAGGTATGGTTGGTTGCTTCTTGGTGCTTTCATCCCAGACCCTTTTGACAGTTGGTTAGTAAGCATGATGGCAAGGGGTTGAAGAATAGCTGTGACCCTCCACTGGCCAGAACCTCGGTTGGAAAATGTATTTGGCTTGGTTTTTCTGTATAGAATAGACTTCCTTTAGTCTTCTTATAGCCTCCCATCATGACCAAAGTCAGCTGCATTTGCTAGGGATGAATTACAATGACCATTTTGGCACATTGTAGTTGAATCAGTGTAATAGTAAGGAAGGAACTGTATGCATCGCATGAATATGCTGGTCACATTGAGCTTGAAATCCTCAAAGCATTCATGCCACAGTCATCTGGACATCTGTTCGATGTGATAGAACTGAAAAATCTCATGCCTCCAAAGTCCTATAGATTTCAGGAGCACTGTTTCCTATACTACTGTACCGAAATCCTCCCTGGCACAATGAGGAAGAGTGGGTGGGTCTCCATAGAATTCTCTGACGGTAGTGGATGTGCATGCCCATTGGATCTGTTCTTCAGAAAGAGGAAACTAACCAGAAGTCGTGCTTGTCAGACAGACGAATAAATACGTGTGGCATGTTATTAAAACGACAGTTCTTCCTGAGTTTTCTGGCGCTGAGGGCTGTAATGTGACTGCTCTCTCAGTCAGGGGGAACAAATACTGTTAGTGTAAGATAAAATAATCCACATCAGCTTCATTTTCCTGCCAGAATATTTTAGTTGCCATTTCCCCATCCTCCATCGATAGTGTTAGTGAGGGCAAGACAGCTGTGCTCTGAATGCACTTTCTTCATAGTGTGATGGAATATCATACTGTTCATTACTATCATTCACAGGCAGAAACTGTATCAAGACTATTCTCTTCAGATTATGAATTTGAGTAGGAAGTTATCCATGGATGCAGATCAAGTCAAGAAGCATGCAGAAAAACTCTCTGTGAGTATCAGGCTTAGCTTTGAAGGAATCCATTGTGTCAGCATCAGAAAGTAGCAGGGCTTCCTGCAGCAAGTCTGGAGGGAAGGGACAGGACAAGAGCTTAGGGAGACAGGAGGGTGGTTCATGTGGTGAGGAGAGACTGGCTATCTCTGTCTCTCTCTCTGTCTCTCTCTGTCTCGACACCCACACACACACACACACACACACACACAGGCACGCTCCTCTTCAGGCAGAGAGATGACAAGATCAGTGATGGGTTAGGAGCCAGCATGATGAGGCCGGTGTGGGGGTGGGGGTGGGGAGATGAGCGGGCACTGCCTGGAGAGTGCAAGAGAAGATATGGGCTTGTATGCCCAGAGGGAGCCCTTCGTGATCCATGATGTGCAGACACCAGGGGCAGGGGGCCCAACAGATCCTTCTGACACAGTGATCAGCAGAGATACAGAGTGAGAGCAGTCAGTGTGCCTGTGGCAGAGCAGGTGGAGGCTTGGCTTTCACTGCTTTGAGTATAGACCAGCCCACTCCCAGAGGAGACGAAGGTAAGGCTTCATGCCATGGTGGACATGTGATGACTGACTCCCCTTTATCCTGGGGATTTGAATGAGGTTTGGGGGACAAGTACTGGAGACGGGACAGTGCCATCTTTGAGGGGCCTTCCTTCCTGGTGGAGAATGGAGCTGCCCTCCCGAAGATTCTGCCTTCCAAAAGTGGGGAAGCAGAGGCTGGAATAACGGAGGGAGATGGAGATGCTGTCCAGTCCAGTGGTCAGGAGCATGGCCTCTGCAATCTCACCAGTTGGAATGCAGTCACAGTTCAGTCACTCTCTAGTCAGGCTAAATTTACCTCTATGCCTCAGATTCCTAGGAGTGCAAGGAGAGATACTTAAAGTCCCTATCTCACAGAATAGATAAAAGTATTCGGGTGTGTGTTCTTATATTGGTCCAGGACGGTATCTGAAGTAACTCTTACAGAATCCTTCCCTGTTAAGCATGACACTGGGGGCTCTACTCTTACTGGGAAGGACAAAATGGAGTGGGTTCCTTTGTAAGGGAGTGACAGATGAGGAGGACATCTCGGGCTAATTTCTATAAAATACAGAGTTCACCAGCTATGGAGGCCTCTAATGGGTGGCTTTTCAAGTCTTTAGGAACTCACGGGATGTTTTGAATACTATTTAGTAGGAACGAGGTCCACTAAATGAATGGACTTCACATTATTAAGGTTATTTTGTAGTGTAACTCATGTAAAGTTGGTCATTGTGTTGGTTTAAAAAATACTACAGTTATTTCAATCTGTATGTTTTGTATAAAAATAATATAGACTCATGTTTCTGCAAGCTTTCTGCTTTTATTTTTCCCTGAATTGTTCTTACATCTTTTACTCTCTTTGTAGAGTATGTTTAAGGAGCAACGGAAATTTATTCATCAAACTCTGATTCTTCAGAAGAAGAGAATGGAAGAATTTAAATCACTGTGTGAACAATACCTGGAGGTCTGTTGTACATTTTGAGAAAGTAACCTATACACAGGGGCATTGACTACTCTGGCATTATTTCCCTTCTTTGTTTAACACCTTTGGAAAGTTACCTGTAAACATCTTTGAGCATTTTCCTCATGGTGTCACTGTTCCATGTAAAACTAAGTAGTACACAATGAGTTTTTACTTCTAGGATTCTCATATGATTGGGAGAATCATTCAAAGCAGGAACTGCTGCCTTGGGGATGTCACCCAGAGTTGTTTGTATTGTACAGGGCATTAATGCTTTTCAGATCACCTTTTCTTGTTTCACAGTGCATTCTCCATTGGAGGTGTATGTGCACACAGGCACACACACGTGTACTTGTCTGTGGGTGTACTTGTGGAGGCCAGAAGTCAACTCTCCATCATGTCTTTTTGAGACAGGATTGCTTGCCGAACCTGGAACTCCCTTGCCACTGTACTAGACTGGCTGTTCTCCAGGTCCCTGGGGTTGCCTGCCCTACCCCAGGTCAATGTGTCACCATTGCCTGGATTTTAATATGTATTCTGGAGAGCTGAAGTCGGCTTTGGCTTTTCATACTTGTGGAGCAAGCTCTTTGCCCACTTTGCCTTCTTCCCAGACCGCACAATCCACTTTTAAGCATAGTGACACGAATATATCACATTTGCACTTGCTTTGCTTCCTCAGTCCATTTTCATGTCGTACCACGGCATGGCTGAAACATGGTTTTGTATGGCCAATTGAGAGTTGTAAGACAGCTTCCAGATGTACCACACAAGGAAAAAATTAAGTGGAAGACTGAGAGATTGTGAATTGAGAGTCACCCTCTGTAACAGGCCCGTCTCTGTAAATTCTTCCTAGGCACATTGACCTATCTGCAGGCTTACACCTATTTACAAAAGAATTAAGTACTCGGTGTTCTGTTTTTTGTTCAGACTTGATGTGAACTGGCTTGTTCAAGTTGCTCAAGGTAAAATGTTGTTTATCCAGTGTAATTAAGATGACCCAACCAACCAAGTTGTAAGACTTCATCCCGTGCTTTCTTGTGCTTGTCCCCTACAACACCCCCACCACTGACAGTGTCTGTTCCTGATGAAATGCCATGCTTTTGGCAGCCTGGTGGTCTGGAAACTTGCTTTCGTATTGCAGCATTTAGATCTCTGTGTTGTTCCTGTTTCTGTGTTTGCCACATCACCAGAGTATGGAAGAGGTCCTGTGAAATTTTATAATCCCCCCACAGTATTTAACAAAACCGTTTAGATGTAGTCTGTGCTATTTTACTCAGTGATGAGGGGACTGTGAGGGTGCAAACCTTGAATTGTAATTTCATGGTGTTCGGTGGGCATAGTACAGGACAAGCTACTCCATCTCCAAAAGAAGCCAGTTAGTGGTAATAAATGAGCTCATGCGTCATATTCTCTGTTTTCATTCGGGTTTGTTTGCTTTTCTTCTTGCTGTGTGGGGAGAGGGGCCCCAGGGTCTCACATATGCTAGGCAAGCACCCTTCCCCTGAGCCACCCTCATGGCTAGTGCCTCATGATTGAACGTTCAGCAGTGGGTGGAGGAGTGGCAGTGTCTGCGTCTCTTTGGTGGGTGTTTCGATCTTCATACTGTACACGGTGTATCCTTGTTTTGGAATAATTAAACCATGTCTTTTGCAGCATTTATTCCCTTTTAAATGTTGCTGTTCACATTTGTAAACCAAGATGACCAGGTCTGATTTCTACACATGTCTTTTCACTTCAGAAACTTGAGACCCTGAGGGATTCCCGGGGAAATTCTGTGGCTGAAGAGCTGAGACATCTAATAGCCACCTTGGAAATAAAACTTCTGATGGTGGATGTAAGTACTGAGCCTTTCATGTCTAAAATGAGGATAGATGAGCACTATTTACTTTAAACCCAGTAAATATGTCCTTGTACTTAACAGGGCCAGCAAGAGAGTGCTGCTGCTGCTCAACAGTCTCTCCTGGATCTGTTATTCTCATAATGCTTTGAAGAAACAAAAGTTGATACAAGAGGAGTTTGCTGGCTGAAGCTGCTTGATGTTTGCAGCTTCAACAACTGTATCTTCTTGTGTTCTCCTGTTCCTAAAGATGTTCCTTTCTGTTAAAATGCAAATAAACCCAAGGATTTGTGTGACTGCACTCCAAAGATGGCTGTAGGAAGCCCCAGGTAGTAATGGAGAGTTTTTCTTGGTAGCATCCAAATTAACGGTTAGCAGTGCATCGATACAGTGGGGTCTTGTACCTCAGCATCACTTTCCCAAATTAGAAGGCCCAAGAGTGGTCCATCCTTGTCACCTTTAGAGAATTAGTTAAAGAATACACACTCTTGCCATTACATTCTGCTGTTAAATCTGTTCCGTCATTGAGCCTATGGCATGGAACTTTCCAAAGGCAATGTGTCCTGTATACTTTAAAAGACTGTGCTCCAGAGTTACTTAAATTGGTAGAATCCATTGAACGTCCCGAGTAAGAAAGATGTGAGTAATGTGACACGAGTTTGTGAAAAGTCACTTTCAGAGAACATTTACAAGGTCTTTCAATTAAATGTGGTCTGCTATCTAATGCCATCTGCCTGTCACATTAACAGTTGATCCTTAGCATGTATACAGCTCAGTCCCTCATAGCTTATGTATTTTATCCTTTGTATGGATAGGAGTAACTGAAAATGTTTTGTTTTTCAATTGTATTGTGCATGTTGTATGTGAACGTCAATGATATACAAGGTCGTATGTACACTTAAAGCTCTTGTTCTGTGATTTCCTAGATATAGATATGGATATGGTTATGGATATTGATCTACCTGCCATGGGAAATCTTTACTTGGAAACATTTGATTTAATAAACATGAAATTGTTTCAGACTTCCTGGAGTGAGTCATTGAATTGCACTCTCTTCCTGACATCTCAAGCATCTGAAAACAAAAATGGTCCCATGCCATGTAGAGGTGTGCTAACACCCGCGTTTCTGTCTCATTGTGTCTTGTTGTGTAGAAAGACACATTGCAAACAGACTGTGTTCAGCATCTCGCATCTTCCACAAGTGGAAATTGTTCCTCCACAGTCAATGAGGGCTTTCCCTCTGGGATCACTTTACTTCTTAAACTTTGAATTATCTGGCGGGGGAGCTTCCCCCTTTGTGCAAAGTATGTGTGGGTGTATGGACCTTTGCTACTATTTCCAACTTTCAATATCTCCTACTTGACATATTCTGACTATCAATATCAAATGATAAATACATTACCACAGCATTGAATCCTGTATTATTCCAGTGTATGAGTGTCTCTGTGGTGTGTGTGTGTGTGTGTGTGTGTGTAAATCTTTTGGGTATGTGGTACATTTTAGGCAAGCACAACTGGATCGTTTCTGAGTTCCTCCAAATTACATGACAACCCCACAGGTAGTACAGCTTCTAACCCCTATCATTTCCAGTGTGTGTTCGCCTAAAAACAGGATTGCCATGAGGGATGACATCGTGTAGGCCAAAGGGCTATCCTGAATGTGGGAGGTAACAGACACTGGGAAAGACAGACCCATAGGAAGTGTGGAGAAGATCGGCCCTGTTGCCCTGCACTCTTGCCATTCTTCTATGCACCAAGGCTATGATATGTGAGTCAACTGGGTTTGTACACTTTGGTGGGACAACAGATTGCATTCTTTGCATATGGAAGCCTCCTTCCAGAACATGCTTAGATGGCCTGTGCCTCCTAAACACCAATTTTATTTAAAATTTGAGGAGCACAGCCATGTGGAAAATATAATTACTTCCTGATGGGTGATGTGGGATAATGCTCTTGTACACTGTAAAGATTTGTTACTCATACTGGATTAATAAAACACTGATTGGCAGGAAGTATGGGTGGGGCTACCCGACTAGGAGAATTCTGGGAAGAGGAAAGGCAAAGATGAAGTTGCCAGCCAGACACAGAGTAAGCAACATGAGAATGCCTTACTGAGAAAAGGTGCTAAGCAACGTGGCTAAATATAGATAAGAATTATGGGTTAATTTAAGTTGTAAGGGTTTGTTCATAATAAGCCAGAGCAATAGGCCAAACCATTTATAATTAATGTAAGCCCCTGTGTGTTTATTTGGGACTGAATGGCTGCATGTCTGGGTGGGACAGAAACTTCTGTCTACAGATGGGGTGGGGTGGGGTGGACTCCTAGCTTAGTTAAAGTATCCAAAATAAAAACATTGGCAGAATTTTTGTCCCAAAACTGGCAGCATGTTTCACATGAAAATTATAAAATTTGATTATTTGTTTTATATTTGGCAAGTAAATACTGTCATGAAGAGGGCATTCTCTCATGTATGAACTGTTCTTTCTATAATTGTGTATTTCTATAATTGTAAATTCTATAATTTTGTATCTATGTCCATGTGTAAAGTTCCACTCTTACTCAAAACCATATGACAAAGGTGATTACTCACTTCCTCGGATTTCAGTTGCATCAAGTCGATCTATCAAGGAGGACTGAGCAGTTAAATGTGAGCAAACGAAACTGCTAGAGAGGGAGTTGAGCATCAAAGATGTACAGCTTTGTGTGGCTCTGGATGTGCTTACCTTCATTCCATTCATGATTCCGATCCAGACTATTCCCAAAATGCCCACTGGTAGAAGGCTTGGTCCCCACTGGTGGTGCTATTGGCAAGTAGTAGAAACTTCAGAGGGAATAGGGTAGTTGGAAGAAGTCGTTCACTGGGGCATGCATCTTCAGAGCATGCTAACACCTTTCCTTTTTTCTTTATCTCTTCACAATAATAGAGTGCATCCACCAATTAGAAATGAAACTTTTGCTGAACATCAATACATATGTTTTTTTTAACCAATGTGTGTATTCATGGTCGTGTATGAATGTACACGTGTGATAGTGTGCATGAATGTATGTGAGCGTGCTTTTGGAGGCAGGACATAGTTTTATGTCGTGTTTCCTCTATAACCATATATCTTACTTTTGGGGGATTAAAATAATTGCTTGAAAACTTGAGGACCTGAATTCAATCCCCCAAACCCATGTAAAGGTGGAAGGTAAGAACTGCCTCTACAAAGTTCTTCTCTGACATTCACATGTATGCTGTGGCTCACATCATAGAAACACAGAAATAAGAATAATAGCCCAAGGAATGTACATCCTAGTGCAGCGATCTGTAACACGAATAAATAAATGACCCAGAGACTGATACTGGGTTTCAAGCTTCAAGCTGAATATCAGAAAAGCAAAGTAGCCGGCCACTAGCTCTCACCTCTAGCTCAGGCTGAAAGGGCTGATCCACACACGAGCTCTCACCAAGTCTCAAACTGCTGTCTCTCCCCAGTGTGGCTGGAGAACGAATGCCTCTCTGAGACCTTGCTTCTGTCTTATATACTTCTCTAATGTTGGGATTAAAGGTAGTGAGCTATAATTCTCTTTAGGACTGGGTCAATCTTGTGTAGATCTGGGTGGCCTTGGACTCACAGAACTCTGTCTACCTCTTAATCCTGAGTCCTAGGATGAAAGGTGTGTGCCACCACCTCCTAGCTTCTGCCTGCTGGGATTAAAGATGTGTGCTTGGCTTCTGTGGCTTGGGATTGACTTTGCTATTCTGAATCCTCAGGCAAGCTTTAATAAATCATAAATAATATATCACTACAGGGATCCATGAACATGCTCATCTATGAAGAGCATCAATGAACATGCTCTATTCACATTAGCTAGGTGATAGCCTAGATGTCCACCAACTGATGAGTGAGTAATGAAAATGTAGTACATTACACAATGGAATATTATTCAGATGTAAAGAAAAAATGAAATGATGAAGTTTTCTTGTGAGTGGTTGGAGCTGGAAATAATAATTTTGAATGAGAGAGCACAGACCCAGAAGGATAAGCTCCAAATGCTTGCTCTTGAGAGAAGGATAGCTTCAAATCTTTAGATATGTGCACTTTTTAAACTGGAGTAGCAGTAGTAGCCAGGAAAATTGTAGGGGACCATGGAGAGGAAAGACTTCAAAATAGGGGTATAGAACACAAGTGGTATGAAGGGCAAAGGGGAGATAATGGGGCACACAGTGTTGGGAGTGGTGGGAATGGAAGGTGTCTTAGTCACTGTGCTATTGCTGTGAAGAGACACCATGACTACAGCAAGTATTATAACAGATAGCATTTAACTGGGTCTTGTTTGCAGTTTCAGAGGTTTAATCCGTGATTATTGTAGTGGGAAGCATGGCAGTACACAGGCAGGCGTGGTGCTGGAGAAGTAGCTGAGAGTTTTACATTCATAACTGCAGGCAGCAGGAAGAGAAGAGATACTGGGCCCACCTTGGGCTTTTGAAGCCTCAAAGCCACCCCCCCCCCAGTGACACGCTTTCTCTAACAAGGTCACACCACCTAATTCTTCTCAAGTAGTGCCACTCTCTGATGACTATGAGCCTATGGGGGCTATTTTTATTCAAACAACCACAGCAGTATAGTGTAAAGGAGGTAGAGGCAGGTGAGTGCTTACCTAAAGTATTCTATTATCAATTAAAAACTCAGGAGTCAGATATTGGGGTAGAAACCTGATCAAGAAAGTGGCAGAGGAACGACCAGATGATCCTCTCTGTCCATGCTTCCCAGATGGAAAAGACCCTTAAAATTTTCTAAACCCCTCAATATTCCCTCCTGTGCCTCTCTATTGTGTCCTGGCTCTTCCAAAATCTCTATGGCTAATTCCAGTCAGCTAGGCTTTGACTCGGCCCCCTGATTCAAGGTTAACTTTTTATTAACAGTCTCAGAGTGTCCCAGTGTGATCAAATATCCCACAACATTTCCTACCTTTAATCTAAATAGAAAGGAAAAGTTTTGACTGTGACACAGTAAAACTATATACAATGAGAACAATTATCAGGTAAGAATTACATTTACAATATCCAGTCCATTTGTATTTGACAGATTTGGAGAAATTATTATCTATGTTGTATTTTTTTTTAAAAAGTAGCTTGAGAGAGAAAGATGCCATGCAACACAGTTCAAGTGGGGAGGGGGGTTCTTTATTAGCAAAAGGGGGTAACTGGGCCTCTGGGAACAAGAGCAGTGAGAAAGAGAGGCACAGAGAGACAGAGAGGGAGAGAGGAGAAAGGAACAGAGAGGGAGAGAAAAAGAGGGGGGATGGGAGATGGGCACAGACCTTCTAAAGGGGAACATAATGTATATCACAGGTGGTGCTCTTAGTGGCAGCAACTGGGGGAGTATCTTGCCAGAACTCCAAAGGCAGGCCAGTAAAATGCCTAAATACTGACAATTTATCCTTTCTTGATGAGTCCAAAGTTTTATACCTAAACCACTTTCTATCATAACTTGTAATACCAACCTAAAAAGTATCTTTTTAGACCTTAAAACATCTTCTTAGGGAAACAACTGAAGTGTTTATGTCTCTCAATCATTTGGTAACAAATTAAGAAAAGAACCTTCAGATAAATAGTCATCTAAAATAGTCAAACTTACTGTCACGTTAGATACGTATTCAAGGTCATAAATAAACATAATGAGACAGATATAGAGGGTCTTCAGATACCTACAGAATATGGCATTTAATATGTTTAATAACCTAAGGCTTCTGTGATAGTGAGACACATCTGTTCCTGGCAGCACCAATCTACTTCAGAGAACATGATGGGTATCAAAGAAACCCCCTATGGAGTTTGTTTTATTTATGGCAAAAGCTAGCCATGTGGGCAAAGTAACTGCTCTTGCCTCAATTGCTGACAATATACTATCTAAACTGGACCGGTAGGATGCAAGAAAGGCGACTGCCAAACTTTGCCAAGACAAGACAGGACAGTCCCTCAGAATCCCCTGCTTCTCAGAAAAGTCTGTCAGATGTGCTAGACCAGTAGGCCAGAGTTGGATGCCCCAACATTTCGGAGGAACTTTGGGTGACCGTCCAGACAGCCTGATATGCCTGTCATTAGGTGACATTTCACCCTTCTGGAGTCCTTCTTGGAGTTGAAGCCTAGAGAGCTATAATTTATAGTTTGTCTTAGTTATGATAAGAATATGATTTAGATGTAAACTTTAGACTCACCAGGATAGGATATATAATAGTGAATTTTCTCCAACTTTTCCAAGTACAAATGGACCTGATGTTGTAACTGTAATTCTTACTCAATGACTGTTTTGCCACATATAATTGTATTATGTTGAAGTTGAAACCTTCCTCTTTAATTTCACAAAAAGGGGGAAATGCTGTGGAATAATCCTTTTGTAGACTGTGAAGATTTGTCGTTGTGATTGGTTTAATAAAAGAAGCTGACTGGCCAGTAGCTGAACAGGTAAAGTTAGGCAGGACAGCCAAACTGAGAATGCTGTTCTAGATGGAGAAGAGAGCAGTCAGAAGTCACCATCGAGACACAGAGGGAGCAGGAGATGAACGTGCCATGCTAATAAAGGTACTGTCACATGGCAGAGCACTAATCTTAAAATGTAAGAGCTAGCTAGCAATAAGCCTGGGCTACTGGCTGATCATTTACAATTAATATATGTCTCTGTGTGGTAATTTGGAAGCAGCTCCCGGGGTGGGGAAAACTCTGCCTACACACACTCCCATTGTTTCATGAAGATATCAGAAGGTACACTGTATGGTTAGTTGGAGATGGGACCTTTAGGATATGTTAATTTGGAAGTGCACCCCATAGGAAAGCCAGTCTGCCTTGGTCTCTCGCACCTCCCCAGTCTTTTGCCGTCACCGTCCTATACCACTTGAGGACACTCCTATACCACTTGAGGACACTAAACATAAGAACGCTACCAGCAGACCTTATATTGACCTGAAGCACAAACCATAATAAACCTGCTCTTCACAGTTACCACCAACAGTGGTACTGTGTTATTAGCCATAAGAAACAGAGTAAGGCAGCACGTGGAATTCATTGGTTTTGTACCACACACCCTATTGGCCAATTATCAGGGGGGCGGGCTATATAGAATGGTGGTCTAACTCAGGTTTAAATAGGGTGACAACATGGGAAAAACACTTAGGGAAGTTGGAATACTACCCTGCCGGATGTGTCGGGTGTCTTAAGCCAGTGTTCGAAATGACATCATCTTTCTGAAAGCAAAAATGCAAGGATGCAGGAACCACAGAGAAAAGTGGAATAGGCCACTATTTCACCTACTACTAAGAAGGAAACATTTCTTTGGTACCTGTCCCAGGTGCATTGGGTCACATAGTTTAGTGGCTCTAATTTCCAAGGCAAGCATATTTAAGGGGACACAACTATAGTTTTAGGGAATTAGATTTCTCAGGACACTGAACTGAAAGGAAGAAAAGGAAAGGGACTCTGGGTATTGGCTGGGAAGATAGATCTTGATTGCACAGGGGCAATTAATTGTGTTGTGTTTCTCGAAACGAGAGCAATCCAAACCCTGGTTTGGAAACAGAGAACCTATTCCAAAGACTTTGAGTAATCTCTTGCCACAAACCTCTGGATAATGGAAAGTTGCTGCAACCCATTAAAGGCAGGATCACCAAGAGATCATATGTGCAACTCAGAAGAAAGGATCCCATCACCCAATCAGGAAGAACCCATGCCAGCACAGTGTGCAGAGAGTAAAAATCGATCTGGAATGTATGAGAGAACATGCCCGTTCTGCTTACCAACATAGTCCTCGTGTTCAGGTACAGAGACATTATGACAATTGTATTTTATGTCATCTGTTGATTTTCCTATTCCCTAGACTGCTATGCTAATTTATAAGGAAATCAAGGAATAATGTATTACAAGAGGGGGTATGACCAAATTGGAAAAATCCTCATAATTTTCAAGACATAAACATTGCTATTTTTTTTTCTAAATACTTCTTGATGATGCCAGACACCACCAGGAATAAAACAAAAGGAAACCAATATGCCAAAGGAACATCTGTCCTCCCGTGTTTATTGTCTCTATACTTAGAACAGCTAGGGAAAGGAATCAACGCAGTATCCAGCCACAGACCAATGCATAAAGCAAGCAGATTGTTACACAGTGGAATCTCCTTCAGCCTTAAGGATGAAGTTACCTCGTTTGAGGCACTATGTTTGGGCCCGGAGGGCACTATTTTATGCAACAAATGAGGCACACACAGCTAAACTATCATAGTGTCAATAGAAACGAGAAAAAAACAGAAACAAGATCACATCTTCCATCGCCTGTCCCCAAAGATAAAACAAGTTGGTACCAGGAGGAAAGACTGTTTAGCTCAGGTGACTTATCAGACCCCCTGGCCTGAGGGAGAGACGGCTTCCTGTAGAACGAGGTGAAGGAGGTGGTTCTGCTCAGCAGTCAGCAGCGGCCACATCTCCACCTGCAGCTTCTTGATGCCTTCCGTGTCCTTTTCATGGGCAGCCATGACCAGGGACTGCAAAAGCAAAAACAGCTCCTCAGGAAGCTGGCCGCTGGTATCCTGGCCGTGGGCATCGAAAGCCTCCCAGGAGTACTTTTCCAGGGTCTGGGCATGCTCGGGCAGCAGCTTTGCGGGCGGTGGTTGCAGGAGCAGCAGCAGCAGCACGCGGGACACCTCGCACCTGACAAGAATGTCTGCGAAGGCACCCAGTGTACCAAGAGAAGGTGCAGCAGAGCCTGGGGCGTGGTCCGCGAGCAGCGGGAGGGGCGGGGTCGGGGCCGAGCCAGGTCTCTACTGGGTTCCTGGTGGGGGCGG